CAATAACTATGTCCCCTAATGTCAGATCATTCTGCCACTGGCCCGAGACAAAAATGAGATCCAGCATGTGTCCGCCCGTGTGGGTGGGGGCCTGAATTAACTGGGTCAAGTCCAAGGCCGTCATGGAAGCCAAGAACTCCTGGGCTGCCGCCGACGTCTCACCCACTGATGGCAGGTTGAAATCCCCCAAGACCATAAGCCTGGGGGTCCCCACCGCCACCCCGGCTATCACGTCGGCCAGCTCAGGCAGGGCTGTTGATACATAGCAGGGAGCCAGGTATATAATCAACAAGCCCACTTGCACCCCATTCCCCCACTTCACAAGGAGCGACTCCACAAGGAGCGACTCCACGCCGTCTATCTGAGGCACAGTGGTCTCCCTTGGACAAAGGCTCTCCCTTATAATGGCCGCTACCCCCCCGCCCCTACCCCGGGTCCTTGGCTGATGGAATGCCTGTTGTCTGACTGCTGCTTGGTATTCATGGATGAGCTCTGCTACTGTTCTCATTCTCTGTCCTGCACAGTGGCTATTACAATCCTTACACTATATGTTGTAGAGATGACTTCTGTTTCTCACCCCTTCCCTTCAGCTACTGGGTCTTTTGATTTATTTAAGCATTTTTGGAGGGCTTTGCTTGGTTTGTGTGATATAGTGATGTTATGTTTCTTTTTTAATAGACTGTTTCAGAGATGTTTTTGATGTATGGCAATGCTTTCCTTTTTATAGTTTGTGTTGGCTGTGCTGTAGTGGGTTGAGTGGTCAGGCACTTGGACATCCACAAGATGTTGTATAACTAGTATGTTTCCTTTTCTTGGTGTCTTAGATTGCTGCAGTGCATCTGCATTCATCAGAATAATGTTCATAAATAGTTCCTCTTGTGGAATATTGGGTTGTTGCTTTGCTAATGGAGCACTTGGTTAGTGTGGGCCATTATTCAATAGACTTGTCTGTCTAATTTGCCATTATTTCTTCCACTGATAAGGATATCCTAGAAGTGATAGTAGTGGATTGTTGTTTTCTTCTTCCACAAACTACTATATAAAAACAAGAAGCAAACCCCACGCTCCCTCACACCGATGATGTTATTAGTTGAGTAAGGAAATGACTGCAAGCGAACAACCAAGCTCAGAGAGGACCAAGGAGTCCGGTATTAAACTGGTATTTGGAACAAGGAATTGGTATGAAAATTCCTTTATTTTTCGTATTAAAAAAATAGGAAGACCAGCACAAACATGGTACTGTGACAAACACAGGTTAACTATGTAGATCAGACATGTCAAACTCACAACGTCACATGATGTTGCGCAATGTATCGGGATGGTTTTGCCATTGCTGGCAATGGGGTGGGCGCGGCTTCCAGATGATGCATCCGGCCTGCGGGCCGGCACTTTGACACCCCTGATGTAGAGTAATAAACAGCAGCAACAAAACAAGCTGCATTTGGGAATTCTCCCGCAGAAGAAATGAAGGCAAGAAGGTTAAATTTCATATTTTAGGGATCTCTCTATTCCTTTAAATCCGTTGAGGAACACTTTTTAGATTGCATTTCTTTTTATTTTGTATTTTGTACTCTACACAAATGATCTAATACCAGTAGGGCAAAGATGCCCGCTTCCTCTCTCAATTTCCTCTCTTCATTATATCTCACATTCTGGAATATTCATTTGTGGATAGGGAACATGGGAAAACTGTAGCCATAAAGGGAGTGGAAATGTCAGTTCCAGAGATAGTTTTCTAAAGATCTTAGACATTGATTGGAT